TGTGTGTGTGTGTGTGTGTGTGTGTGTGTGTGTGTGTGTGTGTGTGTAAGGGGCAGGTTTCCAGTCTGCAGATGATGCTATTTTGCAGGTGGTAAGTGAAATGGGTTCTCTGTTTAGTTTGGCAATGGTTAGGTTTCCTAGATCCTCTCCCTTTCAGAAACATTTCTCAACTCCAGGGAATGGCATCTTTGCTAAAACCAGCTCCTTCAACTTCTCTTCTCAGCCTATCTCCCCGTGATGCGTACACTGGATCATGCCGTGTGCTGAGATGTGACCCCATTATACTCTTCAATGTCCTCACTGGGCCTGTGTCTCCATGTGCATGACTGAGAACATGCACATGCTTGCACACACGTATGTACACGGGCTAACAAATAGAGACTGACATCTTACTTGAAGGGTTACAGTTTTAAAATGTCTGTTCACTTTGGCCTCATCATGGCTGTTCCTCATTATTAGTATTTATCCCAGCTTCCCTTTGCCAAACAAAGTATCATTCTAGTTAGTAAAAAAAAAAAAAAATGTCCGTCCTCATTAGAGTCCTCACAAGTGGTAGGACTAATTTGGTATCCCTTTCAGAACTAGATTTGGGGGCCAAGACACTAGAACTCAGGTTCCTGAGATGTGAGTATCTGGAAGCGTTATATGTTCACTAATTCACTGTTAGGAAATTGTAAGCTGATCAATATTAATTGAGATCAGGCACAGCCTACTAACTGTATTGAATACATTTCCTAAGTTCTAGGAAGCTTGCCACCATCTGAGGAGGGAGGGGATGATTCCTTTCTAAGCTCTCACTCTTTTCAATACCCAAACCTTCCTTACACACTGTTTGCAGTTAAGAATAAAAGTAAAAAATATTGTGCTTCATATTTTAACTCTTATCTTTTTTTAGATGTAAAAAGAAATACTGTAGCGGGTTTTTGGGGGCGTGCACACACACACACACACACACACACGTATGGACATGTGCCCATGCATACAGGTACTGACAGAGGCCACAAGAGGGTATCAGATCCCTTGGACTGAAGCTGTAGGGAGTTACGTGCTTTTAAATGTTAGTCCCAGGAACAGAACTCCCATCCTCTGCAGGATCCATGTGTGTTCTTAACTGCCGATCTGTCTCTCCAGTCCTAGCGTTACTACTAACACTCTTTCTTTACCATGTACCGAGTTTATGCTAACCGCAAGATATTGCACAATTTCACTAACTTCCATCCTCTTGTCAACAGATGTGTGTACTTTTCAGTTAGGAATTACAAAGCTTGCTACATCCTCTAGCTTAATCACCAATGACTTTCATAAAGGAGATAGGTCTGTGTACCGTAGTCTTGTCTGCCCTGTCTAATGTAGCCTCCACCAAGCATGTGTGGTTCTTTAAATTAAAATTAATCGAAATGAGATAGTAATGCTTGCACATACACAGGCCACATTACACATGCTCTGCTACAGCATGTGCAATGTGCTGTATGAACCATCCCCATCACTCCAGGAAAGTCTATTGTATTTAACGCTCTAGTTGGCAGCATGAACCTGGGAGAACGGGCCTAAAAATAGGTAGACCAAAGTCTTCTGCAATAGCCAACGTTATTGAGAGCATCTGACAAGTTATTTATACTCTAAGGGTTAAGATGAGCCGTCTAAGTAAAATATGCAATCACAAGGACAAGCCACAAGTGGCAAAAACATGTTTTTCATAGAGGCATATGAATAACAACAGCGGAAGTGAACTCACTCCTATCCACTATGCCTGAAAAAGGCACAAAAGCACATTCCAAGAGCAGTTCTGTGGGTGTTTCTGTTGTTGTTGTTTTTATTCTCTCATGCATCATATCCAGACCACAGCTTCCCCTCCTTCCACTCCTCCCAGTCCCCCCTCCTTTCCACTCCGCCATATCTACAGTTTCCCTATTAAAAATAAATGGATAGATAGATAGATAGATAGATAGATAGATAGATAGATAGATAGAT